CTGGTGTGAAAGTTTACCGTACAACCTGTCCTCTCACTCAACACGTCGCAGTCGTAAAGTAACGGACCAATACGGTAAAAATACAGCGTGTTAGCGAGCATTACAGCACCGTAACACTGACGTCGTGTACATATCGTCCTGGAACAGTGAGGTTGGTTGCTTCGGTTCGTACGTTTGTAGTGAGGTTAAACAGTCGTGTTTTTAACGGAGTGGTAACGACAAAGAGAACGAGAGTACCGTGGCTGTAGAGAGAAAACGGCAGCCATCAACTGCTACTTACAAGAAAATATGACCAAAGAGAGTAATCAGGTCTAATATAGTGGCCACTAGCTTGTCAAAACTGTATTTTTGTACACCCGGGTCCGACCTGTGGACCGGCCACCCGTGGAGCGGGTACACTCGGGTACGACCTGGGAACCCGCCACCCGTGGAGCGGGTACACCGGGGTAGGGCCTGGGGGACCCGCCACCCGTGGAGCGGGTACACCCGGGTAGGGCCTGGGGACCCGCCACCCGTGGAGCGGGTACACCCGGGTAGGGCCTGGGGGACCCGCCACCCGTGGAGCGGGTACACTCGGGTACGACCTGGGAACCCGCCACCCGTGGAGCGGGTACACCGGGGTAGGGCCTGGGGGACCCGCCACCCGTGGAGCGGGTACACCCGGGTAGGGCCTGGGGACCCGCCACCCGTGGAGCGGGTACACCCGGGTAGGGCCTGGGGACCCGCCACCCGTGGAGCGGGTACACCGGGGTAGGGCCTGGGGACCCGCCACCCGTGGAGCGGGTACACCCGGGTAGGGCCTGGGGACCCGCCACCCGTGGAGCGGGTACACCGGGGTAGGGCCTGGGGACCCGCCACCCGTGGAGCGGGTACACCCGGGTAGGGCCTGGGGACCCGCCACCCGTGGAGCGGGTATCGTAATACACCATCAATCGGTTTCCAATGGCGACATCTCGCGCGTCGCAGACTAATGGAGCGACCAGATCACATCTTACCTTCACTTCTTCCTTCCTTCTCTCTTCGTCCTTCTCTCCTCCTCCTCCTCCAGGCCCGTAGTCCTCCTTCCCCGTCTCATAATCTTCTCCGGCTATCCCAAGGACCTCCCCCCCCCCCCTACACCGTCATCTGCAGCGTCGCCTAGATGACAGGTCCTCTACAGGACCTCCGTCTTATATTATATACACCGTATATACATTTGTGTTCCTCTCGTGTGCTCCAAAGAATGAGGTGATATGATAAAATGCTATATGCCCAAGATTACCATCCGAGTGCCGGCGGGGAAGTGGTTCAAATAGCTTCGGCTATCACTTCCTTATGTTCGGTCGTGATGGTCAAAGCGGATTAAGGCGTCCTGTACATACCAGTTGCGTTGCTCTTGGCAGTATGGGTTCGAGTCACTTCCGGGGTGTGAGTTTTCAGTTTTATACGTTTATATATATATATATATATATATATATATATATATATATATATATATATATATATATATATATATATATATATATATATATATATATAGTCTCTCCGTGCTGGCGTGGTCAACACAGCCTCAGACGGTGCTCGTCCAAGCTCCCACCACCCCCACCCCCCCAAAAGGCGCGATTATTTATCAAATATCAGTTAATAGTTACTTTAGAATGATGTAAATAGTTAAGCCTCTGTTGTCACTTGCGGCCCGTGGGTGAGGCTTTACGGTGGGTGTGCTTCGAACAACAGAAGGGAACGAAACATTGTTCGAGAAAAAGTTCGATCGTCATCAGTTTTGGGTCATGTGTTGAGTGCTTTACGTTCATTAACTGGGAGTTTTTGGCAGCGGAATTAACGAGCAGTTTAGCCAGTGTTTACCCATGTCACGCGAGCGGTGCCGGGGGTCATGTTGCAACTGTTGTGTAGTCTTCACACCACGTCCTCTCATACCCGTTATCTTGAGGTTATCTTGAGGTTATCTTGAGATGATTTCGGGGCTTTAGTGTCCCCGCGGCCCGGTCCTCGACCAGGCCTCCACCCCCAGGAAGCAGCCCGTGACAGCTGACTAACACCCAGGTACCTATTTTACTGCTAGGTAACAGGGGCATAGGGTTATCTTGAGGTTATCTTAAGGTTATCTTGAGATGATTTCGGGGTTTTTAAGTGTCCCCGCGGCCCGGTCCTCGACCAGGCCTCCACCCCCAGGAAGCAGCCCGTGACAGCTGACTAACACCCAGGTACTTATTTTACTGCTAGGTAACAGGGGCATAGGGTGAAAGAAACTCTGCCCATTGTTTCTCGCCGGCGCCCGGGATCGAACCCAGGACCACAGGATCACAAGTCCAGTGTGCTGTCCGCTCGGCCGACCGGCTCCATACTGATAAACAAAACAACAACACATCATCCTGCAGAAATAAACACCCATTTCACTTCTTGCATCTTTCTAGTTTCAGTGTAAATCAGGGACAAGATTTATTAAGCATTTACGCCTCCACTTACGAAACCTGTACATCTTTCCTCTATCATGGCAGCTTTTGTTTACATACAATAAACAGTTTATGAGCTTCAAAGCACTATACGAGGTTGTTTATAACACTAATAACCTCAGGTTGTGGTTTCCAAGCTTCCCTCAATCACCCTTCGTGCAGGTCGGCGTTCAATCCCCGACTGTCTAAGAGGTTGGGCGCCATTCCTTCCCCCCGTCCCATCCCAAATCCTGACCCCCATCCCAGTGCTATATAGTCGTAATGGCTTGGCGCTTTCCCCCTTATAATTCCCTCCCCTTCCCTCAGTCGCCATGATTGAACAAAGATGCACAGATAGCGTAAGTGGCTGCCTAAATCCTCGACGAATCCCGGCTCAGAAATGAAAGGTTTGACGAGAATCAGAAAAACAGTACACAAGATGATACAAAAATCCATTCTCACTGTCAAGACTTTTTAATCCCAGATGTTCAATATTGGGACGAGAGAGACCTGGAGAGAGTGTCCTTGAAGCCACGAGGCCACTTCACTGTCTGGCCTAACGACCACTTGTTCCATTGTTCACTCCAATGATTGCACCACTAAACTCAAGACACTGTAGCGAGGCATAAGATCACCAGAGGTTCCTTGAGACTCCATATTCAGGCTCTTGGGTCGGTCAGGATGCGAAGGCGGTCAGCAGACTGTGGGGTTGTAGTGGGGTTGTAGGGGGGTTGTAGTGTGGTTGTAGTGGGGTTGTAGTGGGGTTGTAGGGGGTTGTAGTGGGGTTGTAGGGGGGTTGTAGTGGGGTTGTAGTGGGGTTGTAGTGGGGTTGTAGGGGGGTTGTAGTGGGGTTGTAGGGGGGTTGTAGTGGGGTTGTAGGGGGGTTGTAGTGGGGTTGTAGTGGGGTTGTAGTGGGGTTGTAGGGGGGTTGTAGTGGGGTTGTAGGGGGGTTGTAGTGTGGTTGTAATGGGGTTGTAGTGGGGTTGTAGGGGGGTTGTAGTGGGGTTGTAGTGGGGTTGTAGGGGGTTGTAGTGGGGTTGTAGGGGGGTTGTAGTGTGGTTGTAGTGGGGTTGTAGTGGGGTTGTAGGGGGGTTGTAGTGGGGTTGTAGGGGGTTGTAGTGGGGTTGTAGGGGGGTTGTAGGGGGGTTGTGGTGGGGTTGTAGTGGGGTTGTAGGGGGGAGAACACAATTACACTACACAAATCACAATAGCGTGATGCATCAAATGAACAAATTCACAAGGGCCGTAACGAGGGTTCGAACTTACGTCCAAGAGAGGATCCCAGACGCTGCCTTAATCGACTGAGAACACAATATTTTCGGAGCGAGATTACCTGTTGATGGCTTCCAGAGTTGTGCTAATTCAGACTTCCTTGATGAGTACCGTACTCACTGCCACTCATACTCATCACTGCCACCCATACTCATCACTGTCACCCATACTCATCACAGTCACCCATACTCATCACAGTCACCCATACTCATCACAGTCACCCATACTCATCACAGTCACCCATACTCATCACTGCCACTCATACTCATCACTGCCACCCATACTCATCACTGCCACCCATACTCATCACAGTCACCCATACTCATCACCGCCACCCATACTCATCACAGTCACCCATACTCATCACAGTCACCCATACTCATCACAGTCACCCATACTCATCACAGTCACCCATACTCATCACCGCCACCCATACTCATCACAGTCACCCATACTCATCACAGTCACCCATACTCATCACAGTCACCCATACTCATCACAGTCACCCATACTCATCACAGTCACCCATACTCATCACTGCCACTCATACTCATCACAGTCACCCATACTCATCACAGTCACCCATACTCATCACCGCTACGATCAACTTTCCGGAAGAAACATTTGTCAATGTTTACATAATGAACAACTCCCCAAAAAACAATTTTCCTCAAATATAAATGAGTATTTATGTTCATTTTGTGTATTGTTAACCCAGAGTTAGGTTTGGTTAGGTTAGGGTTGTAGTTTTGTTTGTAATTATTTGCTTGAGTGAGCGCAATGTATATGTATATATATATATGTATATGTATATATATATGTATATGTATATATATGTATATGTATATGTATATGTATATATATATATGTATATGTATATATATGTATATGTATATATATGTATATGTATATACATGTATATGTATATGTATATACAACCCACCCGTATATGACACCATGTAGGGCTGTTGATCTTCCTACTCTTAAGAGACCGAACACATCCATCACAGCCTAACTAATCCGATATCTCAAGGCGGAAACCAAAGGAGTTATCTTTTTGGAAGACTGGTTTGGATACCTGTAATTTACCTGGAGTTCTTCTAGTGGCCAAGACGGGCCTGGTGGCCAGGCTTCAGCAATCATAGCTTGGTCCAACAGGCTGTTGCTGGGAGCGGCCCGCAGACCTACATATATATCCATCCACCACAACTGGGGTTTGGGGATAGGGGGCGGGGGGGGGGAGGATAACTTACTACCTAGACTAAGAAGTCTTGACAAGTGTGAGATGAGACTTACGTCCGGGTTGCTGGTGTTCTTCCAGTAGAGGTAGAATCCTTGTGGGTCCACCTTAAGCGTGACGGGCATCCCTGATGAGCTGTCCTGTAGGGTGAGAGAATAGTGTTACTAGGGTGTTAGCTCTGACACACACACACACACACACACACACACACACACACACACACACACACACACACACACACACACACACACACACACACACACACACACACACTCACACACACACACACACACACACACACACACACACACACACACACACACACACACACACACACACACACACACACACACAGCTCTGACACACACACACACTAGGGTGTTAGCTCTGACACACACACACACGCACTCACACACACACACACACACACACACACACACACACACACACACACACACACACACACACACACACACACACACACACACACACACACACACACACACACACACACACTCTTCATGCAGTAGTGACCTGCGTTACTAGGGTGGTCTGACACACCCTACAAGCCTATACAGTACTACGTTATTTGGGCTTCAGTTATTCTCTACTTGTTTGTGTTGGGGGGGGGCAGGTGATTTGGTAGGAACAGGTGGTGGAGAAGGGGGGAACAGGTGGTGGAGAAGGGGGGAACAGGTGGTGGAGAAGGGGGGGGGGGAAACAGGTGGTGGTGGTGAGGAGGGGGGGGGAGGGAGACAGTGGCTTCTCTCTCTCTCTCTCTCTCTCTCTCTCTCTCTCTCTCTCTCTCTCTCTCTCTCTCTCTCTCTCTCTCTCTCTCTCTCTCTCTCTCTCTCTCCATCAGCAAATGAAGCCTCCACGGGTCACCTAGAAGTTCCTGCACCTTAACCGCTGACCACATGTAGACCACTCGTACACTGACACCCTCACGACGTGGGGGGAGGGAGGATGAGAGGGAGGGGACTGAGGGAGAGGGACTGAAGGAGAGAGGGCAGATGAAGGGAGGAAGAGATCAGCACACCTTGAGGAAGATGCCACTCAAACCAAACTGGGAAGGGTAAAGAATGAGTGCGTCTTACCCTACCTTCCCTTCCCCTAGCCTCAGCTTACCTTACCTATGCCCTGCCCTCCCCACTCGTCTCTGCCACAGTCTAAGCTGTTTGCCCACTTCACCGCTTGTCATCATGGCCAGGACGCACAAAACATACCCACACTGTCCTTGTTGAAAGACTAACGACCATCCATACCTCAAACATTCCACAGTGTTCCCAGGCATTTCCAAGGACACCCACAGGCACCCACAGGCATCCACAGGCATCTACAGGCATCCACAGCCTCCCACAGGCTGCCACAGGCTGCCACAGCCTCCCACAGCCTCCCACAGGCTGCCACAGCCTTCCACAGCCACCCACAGGCTGCCACAGCCATCCACAGCCTCCCACAGGCTGCCACAGGCTGCCACAGCCTCCCACAGGCTGCCACAGCCTTCCACAGCCACCCACAGGCTGCCACAGCCCAAGTTCTCGCAAATTTAATAAGTCAATATTGACTTATTAAATATGTGCATAGGTGACATACCACCCTTAAAAAGATTCATAGAAACACCGACCTTACCTAACCTAGTATCTTAAGATAAGCATCTTATTGCTTCGTAATTACAATTATTACCCACCTATAATAGGTATAGGTTAAGTATAATTGTAATTACGAAGCAATAAGATGCTTATCTGATACTAACACAGCCACCCACAGGCTGACTTTACGAATTTGCACGGGTTGCACAGCCACAGCCACCCACAGGCTGCCACAGCCAGCTGCCACAGCCCACAGCCTCCCACAGGCTGCCACAGGCTGCCACAGCCTCCCACAGGCTGCCACAGGCCCCCAAACACCTGCGGAACAACGGAGACACCTGTGTCTAGGATTATCGCTGCATACGAATGCAGATCAATTTTGCCAGTTTTCTTATTATACTAATAACTACCACACATTTACCTAACATTATATAATAAGTCTATTACGTTATTACCATATTTCCCATTATAAACTAACGTATAAGCGTGAGGACAGGTTGATGTATTACAACCACCGTACTCACATCTGTGTTGATGTTTCGTGACGCGTCAAATACGTCCAACTGGAAAGAATACACTGATTCTTACACACAGGAGGGTACAGGAGCAGACGACTGCTGACTCCTGTTAGCAGGCTGAGAGCTTTCCCTTCCCATAGCTCATGGTAAGCCTTACCCTACTAGTTTTACACACAGGAGGGTACAGGAGCAGACGACTGCTGGCTCCTGTTAGCAGGCTGAGAGCTTTCCCTTCCCATAGCTCATGGTAAGCCTTACCCTACTAGTTTTACACACAGGAGAGTACAGGAGCAGACGACTGCTGACTCCTGTTAGCAGGCTGAGAGCTTTCCCTTCCCATAGCTCATGGTAAGCCTTACCCTACTAGTTTTCCCCCTGGAACACGACCCGCCAATCAGTTTACGCTCAAGGATCGGTGCCCAATCATCCTTTCGTAATCAGGGCTCGAACTCGGCTCTGCAGCATTCTTAAACTCCTTTAAAACTGTGTTTACTCTCTCTCGTCCATTCAGTCACTATACTCATGTTCACCCGCGTGTGAAGGCTTAAGAACAAATGTGGTGTGTTAATAGCAAGGGTCATCGCCTCTATGACGATGGGAAACATAGAGGAAAGTTTTATGTTGACGTCTTCTGCGAGCTCTGTTTTAAGTGCTTCAGAGTACATTAGTCTGAGCAACTTAGGCACTATGACAGTCCCCACCCACTCACCAGTCACCCTGCACAGTTGGGTGAGGCTAGGGAAAGCACAAGTCTGTGTACCACAGTAGGCAGCAGACAACTGTGGAGCAGACCGCAGCAGAGGACTGTGTACCACAGTAGGTAGCAGACCGCAGCAGAGGACTGTGTACCACAGGGTCGACAGTTTCCCTTGCTGAAAGCCCTATTTCCGCTTGTTCAATATTCCCCCGCGCGGTGGTCGGCGGACTGGTGATTGGAGGCCATGATTGTAGGTGGGGTCGATGGTGGTAGTTATGGGCGTGTTATCAGTGTCGGCGCCAACGCCCCACACACACACACACACACACACACACACACACACACACACACACACTAACACAGATACATACACACAATTTGTTTACCAAAATTAAAACACACATATTTTCCAGATTTCAGTTCTGAAAATCTAAGGCATCTTGGTTAAAATCTAATGAAATTTGCTTTAGATAAAACATCATTGTGTCATATTAATTATTATATTATTATAATTTAAACGTATATAAATTATTTATTGTAAATGATTTTTAATAAAAATATCTCTGAAGAGTTTGACCCAACAGCCTGCTTGACCAAACCACCAACCAGGAGGCCTGGCCAGAAACAGGGCCGCTGGTATCTTGATCCCCGAACCCAACAACATGCAATCAACCAAACACCGGCCTAAAAAAATAGTTATTAATTTATATAAAAGAAAAAATACCATATTATATATTAGAATTTAGTGTAAAGTTATGCCTAGTAAGGGTTAGGTGTTTAAGTTGGTAAATATACAGTCATACAACCACTAGTTACTGTATGATTGAACATACACTATACAACAAAACTATATCAATTAAACTATGTTATCCAATGTATTCTTCTTAACAAAACAAAAACACACACAGCGCCATATTTGAAATCATCTCATGGTTATATGGTTGAAAGCGTGTGCAGGATACACGCTTTCACCACGTGTGAACGTGCTGTAACCACGTGCTGTAACCACCACGTGGTTACAGCACGTGGTGGTCAAGCACCGGGATTTTGACGTTATCACACATATCCTCCAAAGGATACCTGATCAACCAGGCTGTGACTCATACGTCAGCAGCCGCGTCAAATATTGTGTTATTGTGAACAGCCGCGTCCAACAGCCTGGTTAACCAGTTCAGCAACGAGGAGGCCTGGTCGACGACCGGGCCGCGGGGTCGCTAAGCCCCGAAATCACCTCAAGGTAGGCAAAAAAAATCCGGCACTTTGAGCACATAAAACACGGTATAAAACCTCGGGATATATCGCATACTCCATGGTACAACCTCGGAGCATACCACATACTCCATGGTACAACCTCGGAGCATACCACATACTCCATGGTACAACCTCGGAGCATACCACATAGTCCATGGTACAACCTCGGAGCATACCACATAGTCCATGGTACAACCTCGGAGCATACCACATAGTCCATGGTACAACCTCGGAGCATACCACATACTCCATGGTACAACCTCGGAGCATACCACATAGTCCATGGTACAACCTCGGAGCATACCACATAGTCCATGGTACAACCTCGGAGCATACCACATAGTCCATGGTACAACCTCGGAGCATACCACATAGTCCATGGTACAACCTCGGAGCATACCACATAGTCCATGGTACAACCTCGGAGCATACCACATAGTCCATGGTACAACCTCGGAGCATGCCACATAGTCCATGGTACAACCTCGGAGCATGCCACATACTAGCACATACTCCAGAATTTGGCACACTTCCTGTTATAAATATAATATGCATATAACGACAGCAATATCAGCGAGGGTACAGAAGCAATATATATAGGAAGACACTGTGATCCTTGACTGTAAAGTCCTGTTATCTTAGATACTATGCACCCCGATACACCAGGATGTCCCCAGTATGGGAGGTCACCATCATGGCAGGTCACCATCATGGGAGGTCACCATCATGGCAGGTCACCATCATGGCAGGTCACCATCATGGCAGGTCACCATCATGGCAGGTCACCATCATGGCAGGTCACCATCATGGCAGGTCACCATCATGGAAGGTCACCATCATGGGAGGTCACCATCATGGGAGGTCACCATCATGGGAGGTCACCATCATGGCAGGTCACCATCATGGGAGGTCACCATCATGGCAGGTCACCATCATGGGAGGTCACCCTCTCTACAGTAAAGGAGTCTTCACAGTACGGACTTTCCCACAGAAAGGGGGGGGCCTACTGTTAAGGGTTACCCAACAGAAGGGGGTCATTATGAACAGATTTCCCAACAGAAGGAAGGCCCCACGTACAACAG